CTGCATTCAGAGGCTCCCCAATACTGCAGAAGGGGATCACTTGACAACCCCAAATGTATCCAGCCTCACTTGTGAGCTCCCCTCATCCATTTCAAACAGGGGAGATTGAGTCATGAGGAGAGATTCTTGCTTTAAGACATATTTTTCCTAATAGAAGGCTAAGCTGACATTTCTTCTCCCTCCATCCATCCAAAAAGCTTTTCAATAAAACTCTTTGATTATGCCCAGTGCTATAAAACTAACCTTCATGATATAATAAATAGACGCATAGTGAAATACCCTTCAGCACTGTGGTCAGGCTGAAGGCTGCCAACCTGAAGAGCAGAAAATTGTGCTGTCTTTCACTTTCAAAGCAAGTGAATATAGCTGTTTTCTGGGGTGTATAATTGTATCCCTAATTGTTCAGAGGGCCCTCATTGAGAAAAACTTCTGAAGTGAGTACCACGACTCTCCTGCATGGAGTGAAAAGCACTCATAGCCTCTGCCCAAGAGCTGCTCTGGCTTTTGGGGAAAGCTTGACTCAGACCCACACTTATCATGCCACGTTTTGGGCCAGAACAATCGATCTTATGGATTTAACCATTACCCATGTTTTGCAGAGTGAAGACTGATGCACAATTGAACTGTGTGTTCCGTTGAGTGTTTACGTGATGGACAAGCTTCATGCTTAGGTGAAAAGATGCACCGTCTCAGTCCTCTTGGTCTCTATGCACAGTCTGGATAGTTTCTCTGAGTGAATCTAAATTTAAATGTCTGGGAAAGGCTAAGTTATCACCAAAACCCTCTGCCTAATTTTAGTGGTGACTTGTGTTGCAACAGAATTTAAATTCTTCAGCTTAGAAGAAGCTACCTGATGCTCTGCCCTGTAGAAAGCCACAGCAAGGCCAAGTCCCTGCTGCACAAAGTAGAGCTTCTAAAAGAATCACAAGAGTCTCTCCCAGGAATACCAACATCACAGTATCACCTGGTCCTCTTGATGTGCCTGCTGGCAGACTCCAGTGCCTCCCCTTTGACCTAAAATCCCTGTTTAACTGTGTTTGTGACCAGGCTGGCCCACACACAGGAACATCCAAATGTGGATCCGGGACTGACCCTACTAACTCACATAAGTCTCATTCCTGATGGGCAGCCAAGCCCCCAGAGTACCTGATTCTTGCACACACCTTGCTTATCTGGCTCTGCTTGCATTCCCACATTGCATGCAGGAAGCAAAGAAATACAAGATACCTGCCTCGCACTTCTTTTGCATGTAACCTACCAATGCTGTGCTCTAGGCTGGGACTTTAGATATTCCTGAAGCATGAATGATAACTAAAGAGATGACAGAACAGGAAGACAGCCTGGTGGTGCAGACTTGGTGCAAAATGAAGGTGTCTGTACTTCCTGCCCCAAACAAAGCACCCTAGGGTTGTAAGTCACTTTGCTCGAAAAATGCTTCTGTGATACTGTAAAATTGCTAGTGCCAGTTCATCAGGGCAAGGATGATTAAATAAAGCAGCCACTCCTGGGGCAATAAAATCAGCTGTGCTTCATCAGGCTCTAGAAGAACTGTAGAGCTAGGAATATGCTGTGGGACAAAACCTTTACAGAATAAGTGATTTAGCCATAGTGAGACTGGTAGCTGGAGGCAGACAGGGCAGGCAGTGAAACACTGAGCAGTAGCATCCATGGGCATAAAAGTGACCTTTACAGACCTTTCTTAATCCTGTACTCACCCCTCCCTGCAGAAACCAGAAGGGATATGAATAAGGGGGTGCATTAGACTCAGGGCATTGCCAGAACAAGACGAAAAATCCTATCACCTCTTGCCTCTGGGAGGAGAAGGAACATAGGACCCTGGAGATTTTTATATGGGAGGCACAGACACTGGTCTGGCAGAATATCCACAACACAACATTGTCTCCATGATCTTGCAAGCTACATGGAGTTGGAAGAAGAGAGATTGTTTTGTTGCAAAGAGCACAAGAATGGGGGCTGGAAGGTAGGTGGGTGGGTGATGCGGCGACACCACGTGCTGGGAGAGGACTGGATAAGACAATGCATGTAGCAGGGAGCTGCTGTGGGGGATGTCCTCAAGAAGCACATCAGTCTTGTAGGACCTGACACCAGGCTGGATGTCTCAAGGAATCTGGGAAAGTCAAGTCCCTCCTAAAGGAGCTGAACTCTTTGATTATGCCCCACCTCTGGCAGTTTTCAATGTCAGATTGGATGTGGCCCTGAGCAACCTGATCTAGTGGAAGGTGTCCCCACCCATGGCAGGGGGCTTGGAAATAGATGATCTTAAGGTCCCTTCCAATCCAATGACATATATGATTGTCTTCCAAGGAAATTATCCATTTGCAAACAGCATTTCAAATTTCTTAGTTCTTTCTGGGGATTTTTAACGAGTCTAATCGCTCAGTCAAAGCATATAAATCCCTGCTAGAATTATGCCAACTTGATGTGAACAGTCAGTTCAATCTTCTTGTGCCCCAGTGAACTAAAGAGCATAAGGACAAAAATACTTTACAGCATGGATTTGGATGGTTGGTAAATGAGGGAACTTTACACATTAAGGTTTTATATAGATACACACACACAGATAAACTTCTATAGGGATGCCATATATAAAACTGGGAGTGCTAAAGGCATGCATGGACTCACACCTCTCATGTACTGCATCACTACTTCAAAACGTCTTTGCTAGTCCAATGAAAATAACCAGTTTGTCACTCTTTTGACTTTATGATACCAAATACAAAGCACAAAATCTTTTGATTCTTAGTTGCTACAGGTTAGACTAGCTCCACCTAAATCCTCAAGGTCACAGGCATTTACACGTGAAGAGGAGAATTTTGCTGTGATCCCATTACTCAAAAGTAGTTTCCAACTTTTACTAGAGAAAGAATATTGAGAAACAATTGATTTGATAGCCAGAGGATATATATTCAGACACGAACAGCTATGCTCACACACTTAAGACACTATTCACATTTGTCAAAGCAAAGCCACTGAACAAACAGAGTATTTTCCTCCTGTACACACCTCTGCAGTTCTTTTCCATTTGCACCATACAAACAATAACCTGTAAAAATTCATCTTCAAAGTGAAGAAAACGAAATTTGGAAATCCCAATATGCAGTCTGCAATCTCAATAACCACACAGGCAGTATTAAAAAACTCTCCTGGAAGCAATTACAGCTGGCTGCAGATACGAATTTACACTAGAGAGAAAGATAAAAAACCTTATCCAACTATGTTGCACCTTTTCTCTAATACTATCCTCAGAAGCAAAAGCATTTTAAATCCTGAGAGCAGCCTTCATCAAGTTAAATGTGTTGTGGTGGTGCCTGTATACACTACATGCTGTATTACATCTTCATTTGTACAAGGAAGAACGTTCCCGTGCATGTGAGATTTATTCCAGAGCATACAGCACCAGTGGTGTGAGATGTCTGCTTGCCCACTTAATAAAAGGAGACTTCATTTAATTCCTACAAATGCATTTATCCTACATGCACCCTGGCATGACCTGTAGTTACCAAACTGCTAATAAAATGTCAGCTTATCCTGTAAAATCAGAAATGCCTTATTCTTAGGAGTGAGGTAATTTGAAATTAATATGGAGCATCTATATGCAGCTCCTTTGAAGATGATAGCTCATTAACTATAATTAAGAGTAAATAATTTAAATGTATGAATGTAGAAAAGTGCATTCTCTGTTCTGACTGCGTTTTATAACACAAAAAAATCCCCCTGTAAGTATCAGTTAATGCATCATCTTGAGTTTAAGAATATCAAAGCACCTTTTAATTTTTGTTAATGCTCTGTTTATGCTGGATTAATGTCTAATTAATTGTAATTGGAATATTTAATCTCCCTGGAAAGTTCAGATTTTTTTATCTTCTTTCCCTTTCATTACACACTGAGATTACAGTCTCCCTCCAGTGATTTTGAACGCGCAGTTCAACAGATTGCTCTCCGGAGCAACTCCAGCCACTGGGTAGCTCCACGTTCTTAGCGGGGGTCAAACCCCATTACCATTGCCAGTCCCATACAGACCCTTGCACCTCTCCTCCTGCAGCACACTCTTGACCAGCAAGCACTACCAGTCCTGTTCCAGGAAGGCTTGCACTCTGAATTGCCAGTTCCAGAAAGATTTCAATGCATTTACCAGGCTCTTCCTACTGAAGGGTTGACCCCCTTGCGGGATGCTTTAGTGATACCCGATCCAGAAGGATGGTGCAGGCATGAGGGACTTACCCAAGGTCAACCCCTCTCTGCCACCGAATAGCAGGGACCACTGCTGTCTCCTTGCCTCAACCATCCCTCTCTCCAACTTATCTATCACTGCTCGCAAAGTAGAGAATGGGAAGGAAAAGAAATTCAGTCTGGTGCCTCTGGAGCAGGATGGTGAGGGAACCGGTCAGCTGTGGCTGCCAAGAGCCCAGCATCTCTGCCGCCTGCCCCCCGGCTCTACGCCGCAGCCCGCACGGGGCCGCGCACCCCCGCATCTCCCCCTTCCCGGGCCAGACACTGCCCTGGGCTGGCAGGGTGTCCGGGAGCTGGGAGGGAAAGATGCTCTGCCACAGTGCGCTGTAGGGGATTCCTCATGGGGAAGAGGAGGGACGGGAAAAGGAGGACCCCATGCACATTCTCCTATCCAGTGCTCCCAACCCACACCTCGCCATGGCACTGGAAAAGCCTTGTCCCTCCCCAGACCCCCAGCGGGCAGGGCAGATTATGCTAATTTCGACTCTCACCGGAGCATCGGAGAAGCTCCTCTGCGGGCGATGCCCCGCCGCCCGGCGAGGGCAGGCTCTCTCCAGTCCCCGCGCTCCCCGGGGCTCCCGCCGGCGACTCTGCCGCGGCGGCTGCGGGCGCCGCGGTGCTCCCGCCTCTGCTCCGTGCCCGGCGGCGCCGCTCCGGAGTATGCGGCGCGGGGAGGGGGAGGGGGTTTAGTGTTTCCCTCCCCGGAGGGGATAGGACAGGATGGGATGGGATGAGGGGTGGTCACTCACCTCCCTGCAAGGTGACCCGCACAGCGGTCTTCCTACTGTGGGCTGCCGGAGAGGCGTTGTAGCTCCGGGCCGACGGTGGCTCATAGCCCGGCCGCGCCGCCCGCCGGCATCCTGGCTGCGGGGGCGGCGATGACAGGGGGTGGCGGGGGAGCGGGACCGGCACCGGGAAAGGGCGATCGGCCGGCGGGGCTGCGCCGCCTGCACCGACTAGCTGTACAGTGCGCTCAACTCGCGGGGAAGAGGAGGAGGAGCAGGAGGAGGCGGAGGAGGGAGGGAGAAGGAGAGAGGCAGGAGAACCAGCCCTGCGTGGCAGCGCGTCCAACTTTCCTTATGCAGCAGGAACAGCCTCCATACCCTGGTGTGCAGCTCCCATCTCGGGGGAGTATGGCAAAACCCGCCCCTCTCTGCCCCCTCCCCCCCATCCTTCTTCCTCCTCCCTGGGCCTTCCTCCTAGACAGGGATCTCTTTTGTTTCCCACCCACCGGAGCTCAATGACCCTTCAGAGGCATCGAGTCCGCTCGCCCCAGCTTGGCTGACCCTACACCTTGCCCTGCCACAGAGAGCCCCCGGTACTGCTCCCACACCCACACAGCATGGAGCTGGGCACAGCTCCCCAAGGCGACGGGGATGCTCTAGCAGGTCTGAAGAACTTTATTTTACTTGTGGTTTATATTTTAGCGTAGTGACGAGCACACCAGGCTGCGGCATTGAGAGGTGTTCCCAGCTTTCCTAATAACTGTGCATAATATGCGTAAGCAGTGTTCATTCGTTCCTCTTTCCATCCCTAACAGGCCTGATAGCCAAGTCATTTGCCTAAAAGCTTCTCTGTCACCACTTCTTTCTAGATGCGTAAACATCCATTGCTCAAAGTGTTGTTAGGAGATCACATGCCCCTTTTAGATCACTGCTTTCCTTTGCCACGGCAGGGAGACAAGAAGATGTACAACCCTGGTGCATTTTGGTTGCCTCCACTTCTCTCCCAGGGTTAAAGCTGTTTTCTCTCCCTGCTTGCCTATTATTTGTTATTCATAGTCCCAAAATAAGCCATGCCAAATCTTTGCTGAAGGAGAATGTTCAAGATTTAAAATACACATTAACTAACTTGAGTCCATCATAGGGATTTTAAGCAGAAAATCCCTCCAGCCTCTGCTCTTCCACAACATTTCGATTCTCTTCCAAACTCTCACTTGTTTTCAGTATATCCCAGTGGTATTTACAGAACATTTTTCTCTCCATCTAAATATCTGGTCCCTTGTTCATTGCTGACTTGCTCCAGACTGCAGAGAAAATGGTTTCTTCCTTAATGTAATAGGCACTGGGACAGAATGCATATGTAATCAGCAGAAAAAAATAGCCCCAAATTATGGTCACCCTTATTCTCTAAAGTATTTTTCACCTTTCCTTTGTTGAGAATAGAAGCCTTTAAATCACACTCATTATGGCTTTACCAAGTAAGACTTTTAGGAAAAAGACTATCTTTCCATTCTCCTTGTACAGGAACATAACTGTAGGGGGGCTGGCTTGCAAACAAAGGACTTTGAGATGCTACAGGGCAAATTTATCAGGCATTACTGCTACTGAATGGAGATATCAGCTCGCTTGGATGGACAGCAAAATACTGTTTTTTATTCCTGGTGAAATACAATTTCTTAGTGACCAAATGTATTTGTGAAATAGGAGCAAAGCCAAAAAGACTTGTTAGAATTCTTTTCTTGGAAGAAAAAAATGGCATTTATAATGGAGTGGGGAAGGGATCTCTGGGTCATCAAGTCAAATTGTCTTGCTTCCAGGCAGCCACATCCTGTGAGCTTGTTTGTTTCCTTTTGACACTTCCAAAATGTGGGGGCTTTCTATGTTGTTATCAAGATGAGGTTCAGTGACATCAGGGAAGTAATAATTTTCCCTAACACTGTTCCTCCATGTTTCCTATTCTCCCTGCACCAAACTAAGCCCATTCGTCTGGGAAGACCATGGAACTTTGTGTCCATGAGGAAATCAGGCCTCATTTAATTTAGTTGAATTTTGAAGCAGAACCAAGAAAATCTAAGTAGTGAAACAATTACAATCCAACAACCACAGTGGGTGTAACTGTTGCTAATGACTAGGGCATACTTTGCCTTTTTTTCTTGTCAACCTTTTCTCTTGCCTAAAACCATACAAGAGCTTACCAATACTCTAACTGGAGTTAATTATGACACTTCCCTATTGCACTAAGATTGACATAAATTGGCCTATTCCTGATGCTGGAAGGCTAATGACTATGCCTTATTTGATTTTGATATTTGCAGCTCAGTGGTACAATTTGATTGTTGGAGAAAAGTTTTTCAAAGAGCAGTAGAAAGGGGCTTGTGGTGCAGTGAACTGCAGCAGACTAGTTTGCAATTTGGAAGTTTCTCTTCAAGTCTAGCAGCATCACTGAGAGTCCTCTTCAGCACCAGGCTGTGCAGTGCATCCTTAATGCATTGTGCCAGTGCATTTCACAGCTTCTTGGCAAGAGCTGTGGGTGGGAAGAAATCGTGGAGGTTCATGCTATGTGTTAAAGGCACTTTTCTCCAGAGCTGATGCAGATGCACCTCAGTAGGAAAGCTTCTGCGTAGACAAAAGCACAAAGCATCACACTGATGGAGAGCAGCATGAAGAGATGTTTGAAAGGGGCAAAGCAGGGGAAGAAAAAAGTCCACATCCTTTAGGTCTGATGGCTCTTGGAAGCTCATTGCAGCTGTTTGCCGTTCTAAGTGTATGTCAGCAACCTGCTAGGACAAACTACATAGCAGTCAAGGACCCCTTCTTGCTTTGATAGCAGGGACCTGAGTAATTGCTCCCCAGGGCCTCTGAGCAAGGCTCAGGTGCGACCTGAGCTCCTGAGAAGCTACCCTTCAAATACTTGGTGAATAATAATAACAAGAATAATCATTGCAAAGAGAGAAACTGAAAGGCAAGGCTGCCTAGGGCAGAAGAAGAAGAAATGGAAGGGATGCAGGGCAGCCCATGTTGGCTTGGGAACCTCCATGGATCCTGTACTCTCCTGCTCTCAGTGAGGAGCTAGGGATTTGGGAGACATCAAGACAGGATGTAAAGAAGAAATGCCACCTGGAAGCAGAAATTACAAGAGAAGTACAAACAGCTTTTCTTACAACATGGGGATTTGCAGAACTCAGGGAAGGGATGAGACTTTGCAGACATCTTTCATTATAGCTCCAGGGAAATAATTTCACCACTAATTGCTCTGACCAGGGATTTTATAAAGACTAATACTGACCAAACAATTGGCCACTGACTTCAGTGGAAGCACCCTAAGGAACAACACCTTGGCTGAGGAGTCACACAGTCCTGATCACCTTCCTGCTCTTTTCTCCGCTGTGTGCTTTGCATCACTGTCAACAGTCCATCTGTGAGAGCCCTTGGAGTGAGAACTGCTCTGAAAGCTTCCTGGCCAAAACCGCATGGGAACCATCACAGAATGGGAGCAGGAGAGAGTCATGATCTGGAAACCACACATCCAGTGCTTCAGGGAAAGAGGGTGAGCTTTGTGGTAGCCATGAGGATTTGGGGAGCATCATTAGCTGGTGGATCTGCTGATGTGCTAAAATGCTCATGTGAGCTAGTGGGAGGAATGTTATGCTGTGGACCTCAGCTGTCCAAAATCTGATAATCTATGATGTGGTGTATGCTCAGGACACCCCGAATAGTAAAGTGTAAAGACAGTAACCTGCAAGTGCATTCCTGGTCTCTAGGAAGAGCAGCAGCACCACCTATCACCAGAAAAAGGAGAGAGGATAGACAAAGTGCTAGTCTTTCTCCCTGTTCCCAGTACGAGACTGGAGCCCAGGCTTTCTAGATGATCACAGAGAAACTTCCTTCTTCCAGCAGAAGAACCCAGCTTAATTCTTTTCCTCCATGCTTTCTGCTGAAGACTCCTTCTGGCTCTGTGAATGTCTCTTGATTTGTCCATCATTGAGCATCTTTTGCTGCAGAGGGAATGAAATGTCACTTAATGACTCTAAAGCAATAGCTGAGTGGTAGACTGTTCCCCAAGGTCACCTGAGGCTCAACAGGAACAGACTGCAGTGAACATGAAAACGCTTGTTGGGTTAAGTGACGTAGGCCAGATGTGCTCAGCCTTAATAACTTGGGTGTGTGGTTGTGGAGTGATCTTGCTGTGGTACAGAGCTAGCAGGAGATAGAAGGGATGGAAAGGTGAAGGTCTGGGGAAAGAAGCGCTAAGAGCTGGTATTTACAATGACAATGAGCCAGAAGGAAACCCAAAATACAAAACCTCAGGTCTACAACAACCAATTGTTCATCATTCAGAGGGCACAACTAGGCTCCAGGACCCTGTGCTCTAAATTGTGCAGAGCTTTTGGCTTGTGGATCGGCACATAAGGGTTCTGTCTGTCAAAAATCATGGCAACATAGGTACTGGTGTGGTCATGTAGCTTGATTCTGAGTGATGATACAGAGCAATCAGGAAGCACCCCAAAGTTGTAATCTCTTCCTGCCAAAGGCAAGAAGAATCTTTTCATGTAATTGGATCCAACCCCAAAGGTGTAGCCAGGAGTGCTTTTAACTTTCTGAGAAACAAGAAGTGGTTAGCTGAAATGACTGAGCTGTTTGGGTGCTGAAGTGTTGACTTGTTTGCTGGTAGTTCTGAAATTAGAATAAAAATGAGAGTTTGGGTTAACCCAAGCTGAGCATTTTTTTTTCTTATTCTGTATTCATAGCAAATTGAAAAGGAAAAGATAGAATTTTTTGGCTGAGTGAATGATGTAACAAAGCTCAAGATCAAATGTTTCATTGCTTTGAACTCTTCTTTGCTCTTATAAGCTCGATATGTGCGCTTACTTGTAACAGGGGAAAAATATAAACACAATCACTGTCACTCTGCCTAATGTGAACCAAGAACGAGTGGCTGCTAGATATCATCTGCTAGGAGGGTGAAGTAAACAGGTCTTTACATCTGATACTAAATTAATTTGGAAGAACCTGTTAGGAAAAGTGATACAGGACCAACCTTTTATATACTCAAGTCCTCAGCCCAGTCCCTGGAAGGGGTTGTCTTTATCTCTTTTGCTTTAGGCAAGTTACATGAATTCTGCTAAAGTGGCCCAATTTTTCATATGTCCAGGAGCTGAGAGACTCAGAGCCTCAGAAAAAAATTGCATTGCTTTTATTTTGCCATCTGTGCCTCATCTCACTGCATGCAGTTCTAATGTTTGAACTTTTTGGGATTCTTCCAGGAAGCCTTACTGCAAGCAAGTGGCATCAATGCTTCCCTGTTTGTAAGGCAGGTCTTTGACCAGTTTGGGCAGCTCCAAGGGAGAGGGAACTCTATCATTTCTG